AGAAGAGCTGGAACTCAAAGCCCAATTTATCTTGTTAAGCCACCGTACCTCCCAATCAGCCAGCTATTTGTCCATCTGCTTCCAAGCCAAAAGCAAACAAAATATGGCTTCAGCCAGAAAGGGGTTTAAAACATTTCCCAAGGGTGCCTGGGTGGTTCAGTTGGTTAAGCGACTGCCTTCGGCTCAGGTCATGATCCTGGAGTCACGGGATCGAGTCCCACATCGGGCTCCCTGCTCAGCAGGGAGTCGGCTTCTCCCTCTGACCCTCTTCCCTCTCGTGCTCTCATTCTCTCTCTCTCAAATAAATAAATAAAATCTTAAAAAAAAAAAAACATTTCCCAAATGAAAGCCCTGTTTGAAGCACCCCTCGGTGTGGTTTCCCTCCTACAAAATTCACCGCGCAGTCCAGCCACAGCCTCTATCTCCAGCCTCCCCTGGTCTGTTCTCTGCCTCCCTCACTTTACGACAGCCAGGGCAACTTTACGACAGCTGGGGCAACTTTATGACAGTCACGGCAGCCCTTTTGATAGTTCTGTGAACGCAGCTGGCTCTTGCTCGCGAACAGCTTTGCAGTTGCCATTACTTCTGGATCTTTGTCCCCCGCCCCCCCGCCGCCCGCCTGGGCTCTCCACGGTCACTTTGTGCTCTGCATCCCTCAAGCGCCCCTTAAATGTCCCTTTCTTAAAGAGACCTTCCCTAAAAGCTCATGGAAAGAGAGCTCTTACCCTCATTTCTCAGCTTTCACTTGCCCTCTCTTTAGCATTTACCATAATTTATGATTCAGGTATTCACATACTTGCTTGTTTTCTTCACCCTCCAGGAACGTAAGCTCCCTAAACCCTATTAGCCTTCTTCAACCATAAGACCAAGCACAGAGTGGTTATTCAGTGACTTGTTAACTACATGGAAGGAAAAACAGGAGATGGGAGTGCAGAGAATGGGGTAGTGGGAAATGCACGGGGCCTGAATTTGTTTGCTGTAAGAATCTAAAATCGCTAGGCGATAATGGTGCCTAGCACATAGTATGCAATGATTCATCACTCTTCCCTCTCAAAAAGATATCTTTAACTGCGATGTGTTAAACAACCATACCAGAAATCTAGGAAGGTAATCTCTTACTCCATCCAAAAGTTATTCCGTAGGAGCTGAAAAAACATAGTTCCCATAGAAATGGCACACCTCTTTCCAAATCCTCTGCATCGCGCCTCTCCCAGCCCAAGCCCCACCTTTTCAATCAAACCAGAATGTCTGTTTGCTTCCAGGCTTCCTTACTGTTCCCCTCTTTTTCTAAGTTGGCGGCCAACTTCTTCCCGTTGGCCTGGGAACAGCTGAGCGGCAGCTGGAAAGCCTCATGGTCATGTCCCCTCAAGGAATCAGGAATGGACAAAAGAGAGTCAGAATAAAGAAGGACAGAATAAGATTCCAGCAAGTCCACGTCCCCATGTAACAATGTTGATCTTAGACAAGCCACTTGGTGTGAGAGCTCAGACTGCCCCCATTCGGAGTCTAGTTTTGTCACTTTCTAGCTGTATGATTTAAGGCAAGTTACCTAGCCACTCTAGTCCTCAGTCTCCTCATCTACAAAACAGGAAGAGGAACCTCCTCATGGGATTATCTTGAGAAGTAAATAGAGTCACTGCAAAGAACTTAAGCAGGCTGTATATAGAGTAAACACAATGAATTTTAGCTGTGATTATTTCCTGTGTGTATGTGCCCGTGTTTGTCAGTTTATGAAATGTCATTAGCAGATGAAAATCTTTTCTAGTAGGAACATCTAAATGTTCAATGAGTTAAGTTTAGGAGTTAAGTTAAACTTTTTGGGGTTTTAATCCTGTCTGAGAAAGCTTGTCTTCTTGAATTTTCTATTTGTCTTTTTTTTTTTTTTTTTAATTTATCAAGGTTAAAAAAAAAATAGTGTTGTAAAGGGAGGACAGAAAATGAAATTACCGAATCGTTTAAGAGAACATTTTTGATCCCTGAAATCCTGGATAAACTCTTGGAACTTTGCACCAAGGAGATCCTTGTCAGGTGGGGCATGACTGTGCAAGAAAGAATGGCAGGAAAGCTAGGAGAAAAGAATGAGATGAGAAGAACACTCACGAGAGAAAATAGGTCTTGGAAAGGCTGAGTAAAAGAGGATTCTGGAAAATTGGAAAGAATTCAGAAAAAGAAATAGGACTGGGGTAGCCAATGTTAATCAATCACTTTCCATGTGTCAGGCACTATTTCAAATGCTTTATATGCATTAAACTCATTTAATGCTTTCATCCACCTTAGGAAATTGGGACCTTTATTATTCCCATTTTACACATAAGGAAACCGAGGCAGAGAAAGGTAATGTAGTTTGCCCAACGATCACATAAGTTTTGAAGGGGCTTTCATTTAAAGGCTCAATAAAATGGATGATCTGGCAGATGTGGGATTCATTTAGAACTGGAAAGGGGAAAAATGAGGTTAGAAACGGGATCCAAGTTTATGTGGATTTATAATGATGTTATTGAGTTTTTAAACCCTAAAAACATCTGCATCATTTTAGAAACTATTTCTTAACCCTGATCTCTGTTTTATCCACCCCAACAACAATAAAAACCTAATCAGACTGTACTAGAGAGTAAGTCATAAAAGATAAGCAACAATGACTTCCTTTGGGTGAAAAGCAGTCTCAAATTTGAGAGCATGTAGTTCTACCATAGCTATAATAATTTTCTGTTACTCAACCCTGCTTGTCTCTTCCCTCCTCCTTACCCCAAGGACCAATATATTTCTAGAGATAATAATAAAGGACATTAGCATGGTAAGAGAAAAATAATAGAGTTTAGGGGCTGGCCATAGAAGGTAATTCCACAGACACTATAAAATCCTTGCTTACTTGGTTTGCAACCAGGAAACTTAGTGAATAACTGTTGTTTTTCCAACCCCTCTTGCAAGTGCAAATCCAATACAATTCTTCAGTGGGGCACAGTAAAAAGCAAATGCAAAGGCATTTGAAAAAGCTCGCCCATTTAGATTTAATTACATACATAACTGCTGTCCTCCCAAGTGTGAAAATGCTGTAACCAATAAATCAGACAATAAAATGCTATCTGAGCAGAACAGATTTATAAAGAAGATGTGTGAGCAGTCAAAATTCATTCACTTGCATTGGGTGTTTCTACCCAGAAAGTTCTTAAACGCAAAAGCAAATGGCTGCTCTTTGAATCGTGCCTTCTTTTGAACACTTAGGTCCATCATTTTCCTTAGAGGGGTGTTCTCATCTAATAGCTTTGAAGCGAACAGCAGATTCCAATCTTAAAAACATCTCTCTGTGTTAAAGGATCACTAGATCTGTGTTTGCATGCTAGATTTTAAGGGCCATCTCATTTGCCTGTGACTGTTTCTTACATGCTCAATTTATAGCTACCAAATGAAGCATAATTTAGTAGAAAGAATATTTCACTTTAGAGCCTCCTCAAGATACACGTACGGAGAAGACTGCAAACTTCTGCAAAGCCAAATTTTTAAAAATGTGACATTCAGACTACCACAATATCTTCCCAAGTATTTTCATAGGAAAAAAAGACTCTGCAGTAAGAGTAATGAGATAATTTTCAGTCATTGCCAATGATTTTGATGTTTATGAAATGCATTCTAAAATGTACCTGCTTTAGATTGAAATTTCTTGTGAATGACCAATTTGGAGTAAGAAAGTTGGGAAGACCGGCGTCTTGTCATCTTTTCAGGCACACGTTTGCCAAGGGCAAATTGTTGGAGGGTATGGACTGGCCACATTTCCCATGTTCTCATTTGGAGTAAAATTAAATGGAAAAAAAAATATTTTCCTTTTCAATAAAGCCTCATAAAAATAATACCTTACTACACCTTATAGCTGCTGATCAACCATGTTAAAGGCACAATCTGATCTCTGCAGACACTCTCCTAAGGAAAAGAACAAGTCAGCCAAGCAATTTCCTCATTGTGCTTATGAAAATGAAAATGTAACCAACCTTAGGATTTCAAAACCATCCATGGTTACAAGTAAGGGAGTAAATAAATACTAGCGGGGCTTTTACTTTATCATGAAATTATATTGCTATTGATTTTTCATTGGCTAATTTGGAAGGCAAAATGGCTCTCCCTGAGTTGGAAGGGTTCCTTTCTTACCTTGCTTTTGGCAGTGTACCATAAAGCCAATTTTCAGTGATTTTGTTCGGATTGGTTTGTTTGCTTGTTTTGTCTGTTTTTTTCTGGGAGTTCTAGACTCTGACAGGACAGCAGGCATATAACAATGTGAAACAAAGTTCAGAGATACTTTTGAACGACTCAAACAGGATCCATTTCCTCGTTCTCCCTAGCTTGTGGATTTTTTAAGTCTGGATCTGGCTCCTGTTCTTGTTTCTCTAAATATTTATCAGTTAACAATTATGCATCTGCTCCAATGGCAACAAACTTGGCTGAAGAGAGAAATAAGAATGCTTTCTTTGCCCCAAATATGCTAAATAATGCAAGTCCATTTGGAGTTTTTGAAACAGTAGCTTTCATCAGATTGTCAGAGGTAGGTCCTTTGATTTTGACACTCACTAAACATATAGAAAAACCATGTTACTTCAGCATGTGGTTTCTCCTTTAAAGAAAAAAAAATCATTTCCTATTTGTTTGGCTCTTTCCAGTAAGTTTTTCTAGTAAGCATTTGCCTCTCTTATAATACATGCTGTGCAATGCTGAAATTAATAGAACTGCTTAGTAAAGTCCACTGAACCCTGGGGCAAGAACCTTTCACACAGAAGAGACTTTCTTTCACTTAGACATATTTTAAGAAATAAACTTACGAAACGTTGCCTGATACGATTTAGAAATCATTATCCCATCAAGACACTAAGCCCAAACCTGCATTTTGCAAACCTTTTATTTTTGTATTTGCCAAGGGCTCTTTGCACAAGTTTACTCACATTGACCTTTTATGCTTTCAACACATGTAGTTTTTATAAACCTGAGGCAAAGCAGCAAATATAAATTGTACTAACCTTCGTATATTTATATGTCAAATTGGTGAGTGGGACAGGTAAGTCTGGCATGCCTGAGGACGACATTTCTGGTTCGGCTCCTGGAACACAGGTGACAGGCTCAGCGATTTGGTTCTGATAGAGCACTTGGCTTTATTTGTTCCTTTTTATCTGCACGGGCTAAGGTCTATTTGCATACCGGACTATGATTGGATGAACAAACTCGGAGCGAAAAGAAAACGACACTACTTATTTGTAACACCTAGGGCAGGAAGCCCTTGACTTTAAACTTAAATCCTTAAGAAACCAGCGCTCCAGTGTTGAAACTGCAGCTGGAGACAGGGCACTATTTGCAGACGAATTAATTTACAAAGCCGAAACCTGCGATAAGGATATGCAAGGCGGCTGGTCTGGCCACTGAGGCCAGTTATGATTTTTTGGCTTTTCAGGCTTTTTATGCTACTGTGAAACTTTCTGTCCTCTGACAGACTTGGACTCAGAGAATTTGAGGATTGAAAAAAAAGAGTCTCTAAGGGCACTTGTTCTCAGTGGACGCTGGTGAGGAGAGGTCCCTGGCCAGGTGTCTTCAGGACAATGCTGTCAGCGAATCAGCCCAGGTCCCAGAAAATCAGAGTGGGAAGAGAGTCCCTCTGGAAAGACCCGAGCCCAAGTCTGCTTTACAGGATCCGACCAATCGAGTATATTTTCAGTGGGTAAGCAGACCTACTGTGATTTCACAAGCGCTACACGATCATTATGTTACACAGGGGAATAGAAAGGTCAGCGGGATTTTTACGGATCTCAGAGTCCACTGTCACACAGAGAGCCACCACGACAGCAAGATGGCAATATCGTCTGTTAAAACCATCTAAAATGAAACTAACCTCCGGTTTTGGAAGTTGGCTATATTTATCAATGGCTGATACAGGCTATAGTGCAAAAAGAATATTTAAACAGGACGCTGAGTAATTCGATTTCTTAAAAGTGAAAGTTTCAAGCTGGGAACATTAAAAAAGAATGTTTAACTGTACTCCTCCCATGTTAAACACAAAACTTTATTGTATGGAAGCTCAAGCAAAAGTTACAATAGGAACACAATAGAAAACTGTGGATACTCTTAAATCTGATTACTGAGAGTGAAGAACCACAATGTTCTCCACCCCCCCCCACCCCACAGGGAAAATTGCCAGCTCTCCGCAATATGGGATTTAGGTAGGGAAATGAAGGTCTACTGAATAGTTGCTCCAAATCAGGCACAGGAGCCTCACTTTCTGTTTCGCTTCTTACTTGGTTCCCCATTTTACAGATGCAGAGACAGCAAGTGGCTTGCTTAAGATCACAGATCTAACAAGGGCAAAACCAGAATTCATTTCCCGGGTGGGTTCCCCAGGTGAATAGTCACCCTCACGGACACTTAACGGTTATTAGCCCTCTCATTCATCTAAAAGTAGGCAAACTTTTTCTGTTAAAGAAACAGAAAACATTTTCGGCTTTTTAGGCCAGATGGTTTCTGTGGTCACTTACTCGACTCTACGTGGAAGAAACTATAGACAGTGGATACGTTAATGGGTACAGGTGCTTTCCAATAAAATTTTATTTTCGGAAACAGGAGGCAGGCCAGATCTGGCTCATGGGCCAGCCCCCAATTTCCAAGACAACCATCTCCAAGGACCGTGCCTCCCCTGCACCTGCTCGAAGGCCAGATAGAAACTTCTGTGTTCTTTCACCATTCTGCTCTCTTTCTCCATCCCTCCCTCTTTCTCTTGCTCTTAATTCCTTTCTTTTTGGAGAATCTAATTGTTTTGTCTCCTAAAAATGTGTTTTGAGTTAAATGCACAATTACACAACAGCTGTTATTAACTTGCAGAGCGATGCTCCGGCCTTGCCCGGACAGCTGGGCTTTGCGGCCGTTTGCCTCTTCCAGCTTCGCAGTTGTCCGTGGATCCAACCCCCGGTTCACTTGATGTCCAGACAGTGAAAGCGCAAAGCCTCATGACACCCTTGGTGTGTTGCCTCACTACTTGCATGCTCATCCTTGACTCTGCTGCACTGAATAATGATTTACCTAAGAATGTTTCCCTTTACACCAGACACCTTACTGAAGGCAGGTAAAAGGAACGGCTTGGGAAACGGGTTACCATCCTGCCCATTTAATTTCAACAAATATTTACCAACTAGCTTGTTAAGGGTAAAGCACGGGGATTAGACGATCAGGAATTCTCCAACCTTAATCTTCCCTGAAGGGCAGGGTTTTTTTTGTTTTTGTTTTTGTTTTTGTTTTTTTCCTGCCCAGAAACCATGGGGCTTTAGAGCTTTTTTTTTTTTTTTTTTTTTTTTTAGGCACAGGGGCAAAAGAGATCCACATCAAGACTGAGCCCAGGGTTGGGTATTTTTATTGTATTTTTACATATATGGGACTTGAATTTGGGGGTAATAGACAAAAGATGTTCGATCTTCCTGTCCTCCTCACGGACAAGCTGAATTACACATGCACACACACAGATGGGGCAGAGGGTTGGGAGAGAAAGAGAAGCATAGTTGATTCTCTCTTGAATCTAACTTCTTCCAGCCCTTTCTGGAAAGCTTTCATGATACCAAGGAACACACAAACCATGACTTCCACCATTGCTGAAACTACTGTCTCATTTTATAAGGAATCTCTTTCCAGAGCTCCATGCAAGGCTCAGTCGCTGAAAAGATAATGGAGCCTAACCTTCTCCCACCCACATGAGTAACTGAAATAGAAACCACTCCAATTTGTTAAACAAGTGAAATTATACGGTGAAGTAAAAATAGCTTCTTTTTACATTTCCTGATCTCAAAATCCAGGATCAGTTTGTTGGAGCAAATTTCTTTTGCTCAGTGACATCTCTTCCCCACCCCCCCCACCCCCCCCAACCCCCGCCCCCCGTCTCTTCAGTGTTGCCTTAAGCATGACTGGGTGAGTCTGCCGGTTGGTTAAACCAGAGATGGATATTTCCCTTTGCTTTTGATCACCGCAATTTCTGCAGACACTGCATTGTCCGTAGGCCTATTTGGGCTTTAATAATTTGGAAAAAGCGGGTCTTGCCTGGGGTGACGGGACCTGTCCTCGGTTGGCAAGCTGGTGTGAACAATGGAGGTGGAAGGCAGCATTTGAGCACCTGATCCTTTGTGTTTGTGGGCTGAATTCTGTTCATCTGCCATTCTTCTCCACTTAGCATTATCTCCTCACTCCTGATTTCTCCTGCTCTTCACACACCCTATCATTGTTTTCTTTTTGTTTTGTGTTACTAACGGCACGGCAGATGCCCCTCTTCTCTGATACCCGTTAGTAAAGTCACTAAAACAAACAGTAGACTAAGGCCTCCCTAAGATCATGATTTTATTTGAAATAGGTCTTTGCTAAACTTTACGGGCTGAAGACATTTTTTAGCGCTGGGTCAGCTGCCAGAGTTTGAAATAACCTTACACAGCATTCACAGTGAGCGTGTTTCCTCAAAGTGGAGGGAGAAATTCAGGACACTAATGGCATTTTTGAGGCAATCTGAATGTAGACGACTTTGAGACTTATGACATTTCCCATATTGTTTTACAGTTGTCTTATGCACAGATCATACAGTAATGAGTTTAAGCACTGGACAGGGTTGGGTGTTTGCCTAGCGCTCAATTTTATGCATAGTTTTCATAGATACAACCCTCCTTTTCCTCCTGATAAATGTACAATTTAAATAACATTTAATCCAATCATGTAGTTGAAATACTAGGTGCATGTGAATGATCAGGTTTTGGAGCAGAGATTTGGTGATCGGTAAGCAGAGGAGGCTGTGTCCTAAAGTGAACACATGAGTGGTCAGTGCTGTGTTTTTGCTTTTTACTTTTTAAACATTTTTGAAAAACATTTTCAAGTCAAATAAGCCATATTGAAAAAAACTGCAAAAAATGGAAGTGTACATCTCAATAAATAACCATAAAAGGAAAAAAGCAAAATCACTACCACTCGGGTCAGGGAATAGAACAATATCAGCACCCCAAAGACCACTTTGTACCTCCTCCCCACCCTTATCCTCTTTTTCCTCACCCTAAATTAGGATATCACCAATATCTTGACTTCTAATACCATACATTCTTTTTTTTCCCTGATTTTTGAACTTGATGCAAGCAAATCATATAGTCAGAATAATTTTAAAGGAAATCCAGAGGAGCAAGTGAATCTGACAGGTGAGTTAAATTGTGGTTGTAGGTAAAGAAAGTTTCTCAGAGAGTGCTCCCACCCAAATATATCCCCAATAAACAAAATTAAGAATTGTGAAATATACAGCAATAGGTTGGCATTTCTATGAGAACAAGGGCGTTTTTTTCATGCCGGTCACAGCACCTGTTAAAGTCCAGAGAAATGGCCCTTTTCCTACAGTTTTGTTGGTGCTCAATAGCACTTACGCATTATATCAAAATGTTAAAAATGTTCAAACCCTTGATCTAGTTATTCTACTTCTACAAATTCCTTTTAAGGAAACAACCAAAAAATATATGTAAGTTATGAACAAGTATCTTTAATATATTATTTATAAAATAGAAAAATACCAAATGGTTAGGTAGTTTGTGGTTTAGCAAAATACACATATAATAAACAAATAATTAAGGAAGGACCTAGTAAACTTTTGAAATACATTGTAATCTAATTTTTAAAAAGTAGGTTATAAAAGCTGTGTGCTGTGTAGGGGTGCTAAGAAATTAAACTTTACCCTCAGGGTTTGGTCAAAATCTGCAGTTTACCTTTGACCTTGGCCTCAGCATTTGGAAAGCTAAATAACTGAATTTCAATTCCAGTGTCATTCCTGGCATCCTGAAATTATGCAGAATCAAGTGATTCCCTTGGTTATGGTTTATATAATTTTCCCAGGCTGAATAACGGCTCCCAAAGGTATCCTTGGAATCTGTGAATTTGACCTTACGTGACAAAGGAAAGTTTGCAGATGTGATTGAGGATCTTGAGATGAGAAATTATCCTGGATTATCAGGGTGGGCACTAAATACCATCACAAGTGTCCCTCGAAGCAGAGAGCAAAGGAGACTTGACCACACAAGCAGAAGGAAATGTGATCACTGAAGCCACCAGCTTTGATGAAGGAGGAAGGGGCAAGAAGCCAAGGAACACAAGCAACACATCTCTAGAAGCTGGAAAATCAAGGAGGCTCTTCCCCTAGAGCCTCTGAGAGGAACAGGACCTTTGATATCCACCAGTGAAACTGATTTCAGACTTCTGAACTTTACAATTGGAGAGAATAAATAATTTGCTGCTTTAAACCACCCAGTTTGTCGCAATTTGTTACAGCAACATCGGCAACCAAATACACAAATCAATGAAAACACAAGTACCAAAAAAGTATCAGCTGTCATTGACCACGACTCTGCACACT